ACTACTGTAAAGTAAAAACAAATAAAATAAAAATTAAATCTACTACCTGTTTAAGTTACATCCCATGAAAAAAATCTTGGCACGAAGAAAAACCACGGGGGATTATTACTACCTAGGGAAAATAAAAGACATGTTTTTTTGTATCTTTTTCTATTTTATACTCTTTTTGTATTTTTGTTTAAAGTAAAATCCCTCAAGAAAACTGTCTAGGAGATCCATTGTTAGGAAAAGTTCATTTTTTTTCTTCTGTTCCAGTTTTTTTTATAAAATAAAAATAAAAATAAAACTGCTACACTACTCAATAGTATTCTAAAGTATCTTAAAATAACAAAAAGAGAAGATAACAATAAAGAAAATAAGAAGCTAGAAATTTAAAAAAATAAAAACTAAAAAGCTAATATGGTTACTAATCTGTTACTACTATGCACAACGTGAGTTACCCATCCCACACTTAAAACATGCAGTGTCCCCAATGCATAATTTCAGTAGAAATGGTGATAAGAACTCCCTAATCAATCCTCGAGACGATGGCCCTTATCGTAGAAGGTTCGGTCAGCCTCATCCCAATCATCAACGTCATCACCCATATCCTCACCAGTGGCATCAGTCGCTGGATCAACCTGCTCCTCGTCACCTTATACCGAATGCTCGGGAGTGTTGATATCTTCCTCTGGTGGCACCCCCTGACCCATAACTAAACTAACCAATCGTTGTGCAGGTATGGTGAGGGCGAACTGCTTAGTCAACTGAGTCCTCTCTTCTGAAATAGTAGGCCTACCCCCAATCCTCAATTGCAAATCCATCATCCCATACAAATGAGCCAAGACGCTCTCATCACAAGCCTGACGCTACGCTGTAGTCAATATTGTACCATCTTCCTCATCTGGCCCACGGATAACTGCAATGTTGGTTGCTCGAGATGTGGCTGGAATTAACATGTCAAACTTGGGCTCCTCATCCACTTGCTCTCTATGCAAATATTGCGTAAGCAGATTCACAAAGAATATCCTAGTAAGCGTGCCCTTTCTAGATTATGCCATCTGGCTACGTATCAACTGGCCCGCATTCACCGGTCACCCTTTCATCAAGAAATACACTAGACATACTCTCTCTCGGACAACAGCAAAATCATGATCATACAGAAGTAGTATCGTGTTCACCAAGCGCAACCACACTTTAGCAATTTTCATAAACTTCACTTCAGGAAAAGAAGTACGGGTGTTGTATATCTTGTCCCTTGTCCACACCGCATTCAAATTAACACCACACAGTGCGTGCCTAATAACTGTGTAAGCAGGCTGGTCAATAAAGTCACACAACGGACTACACGAGACATCAGGTGCATCCAAAAATCTTCATAATGTGCTAGGCAAACCACGAGTAGGCACCAATTGCTCCTCATCCTCAAGGTTCCACCCGGCGTAGAACTCGTGTGCTAAGCTAAAGTTTGCCTCTCTCGGATTTTTAAATACAAAATAAGTCCTACTTCATATATTCTTTCCTAAATTTGAGGGTAACGTGACTCAATTTGTGCTCATCAACTGCAAAATCAGGGAGATATGTGTTTGGGCGACACTTCCTGTACCATACCCTCCCAGATGGGGGCATACTCTTGATGCCATACTCATGAGTCGCTCTCTCTTGAGGTTGTGCCTCAATAGAAGCAGAAGCCACTTGCTTTCCTTTACCATTGTGACTACTAGACGTAGCCTCAACTCTATTCCTTTTCTTTGGTTGTGGGGCTGACGAGGTAGCCTTTGCCTTTGGTGGTGCCTTAGCCTTAGCCGGTGCCTTAGAACTAGCTGTTGGACGAACCATAATGCACGTACCTGTCAACCATGCCAATTGTCAATGCAAGGAAACAACAACTATCGCCAAAATAAGGTCGGAGTGACCCCACACTTAAAGCTCTAAGATATGCTAATTACTTTAAATCATAGGCTACTCAGACTTTGCCTTCATCAAGTAAGCGTATTAGCATCTGAATTTCGACACTACACATAGCCCGTATGTCATTTGAAACACACTTTATCAATCCACCAACTCCGTAGAGTTACCTCACACGTAGGCTATCGTATCAATCATTCTCACGTAACACAAAACAACTAATCCCGGAGATTCGGGCTCCAATTGGGCCTACAATCGCCAATGAGGCAATTTATCAAACACCGTATATGCATTATTTGTGTGTGAGTTTCTTTGTGGGTGAAGGATTGCTCCACCCTTCCAAATCGGCTTGGGAATCGAGTGTATAACACTCATCACAACAATTACAAGATACCTATGGGGTATTTGGGGTTGGGTATTTCTTTTAGCACAATTGCACCACTGTTGCACCTTGTAGAACATATTACCCAACACTAGAATTTATATGGAAAAGAGAAAATAGAGGAGAGAGAAAGAGAAAATCATACATGTTGCTTGACAGAGATAACGAGGCAGTGGGGTTGGGTGGCAACTTGAGGAACTTGGAGTTTTGTTTCTGTGTGGGAACGGAACAGTGGGGCTGGGAGTTAGCCAGAAGGTTTTGTTTCTTTTTGTTTTTGAATGCTGGGGTCGTGTGGTTGTTACAAAGAGTGGGGATGGTAATTAGTTACTAGGGGAGGAGTGGTGTTGTGGTGTTAATTAATGAAAGAAGGGTAAGGAGATAATAACAAAAACAAGTCACTTACCTTGGCCTTAAGCGCTAGGCAGTGCGAGGCAGATTCTCACGTAGGGGTTGGGCAGCGTGAGGGGCAACGTTTGGATGTTGTGAGGCGGTATGAGGAAAGCCAACAATGGCGCTATAAAGGTTGCATCGTGGAGGCTAGGATGCCAAGCTTGGCGTGGTAGACGGCACAAGGCAGCATCTGGGGCACTGAATTTTCAGCGAGGGGCGGGGTAGTGTTTCATTAATGCCAGGCGACACGAGACATGCTAAGAGTAGACTTCTCCCCATGATGGTTCGGTGTTTTATTGTTCGTATTTCACCCTTTTAGCTAGTTTAGGACCCCCAAGCACATCGTTCTTCCAAGTAGCTCCACTACCTATAAAAACACGACAAATCCACACAAAACTCACTTGTTAGTCCGCCTCAATATCAAACAAAAACTAAAACTAAATGAAATCTACGCTACGAATTGGGTTGCCTCTCAATAAGCGCCTTAGGTAAAGTCATGGCATGATGAATACAACACGACCATGGGTTGCCTCCCAGGAAGCGCCTGATTTAACGTCGCGACATGATGCAGGCTTTCAGGATTACACTTCTCTCACATATTGGGGCTCTTCCAAGTACATCACATCTTTCTTCCCTTTTTCTTCAATCATTCCAAGGTATTGTTTCAACCTTTGCCCATTCACTTTAAACCTGTTCGTCCCATCTTCAGACTCAATTTCTACCACTCCACTTGGGAACACTTGCACAACTCTAAATGGTCCCGACCATCTAGATTTCAGCTTACCCGAAAATAATCTCAATCTCGAGTTGTATAACAATACTAGATCTCTGGGTTTGAAGTTCCTATCTAGAATGTGCTTATCATGCACCATCTTCATCCTTTCCTTGTACAATCTTGTACTCTCGAATGCCTGGAATCGGAACTCCTTGAGTTCATGTAACTCTGTAACTCCACTTGTTCCTGTGGTTTCCGTATCCAAGTTCTACTGTCGCAGTGTCCATAAGGCTTTATGCTTAAGATCCACCGGAAGATGGCATGCTTTTACAAACACCAACTTGTACGGAGAAATACCTATCAGCATTTTAAATGTTGTGTAGTAAGCCCATAACGCATCATCCAACTTCCTTGCCCAATCAGTCCGAGTTGCATTCCCTGTCTTGGTCAAGACACTTTTGATTTCCCCGTTGGACACTTCTACTTGCCCGCTCATTTGTGGGTGGTAAAGTGTGGAAACCTTACAGTGAACTCCATACTTTTCTAATAGCCTTGCGAACTCTCTATTGCATAAATGGGTTCCACCATCACTTATTATAGCTCTCCGAGTGCTAAACCGGGTAAAAATATTTTTCCTTATAAATCCTATTACTCCTTTGGCATCATTTGTTGGAAGAGCCACAGCTTCAACCCATTTGGAGACATAGTCAACTGCTACCAATATGTACTTGTTACCATATGAGCTGACAAATGGTCCCATTAAATCAATCCCCTACACGTCAAACACTTCCACCTCTTGAATTGTAGTCATCAGTATCTCGTGACGGTGAGATATGTTGCCGGTTCGTTGGAACTCATCACAACTTTTCACCTAGACATGGGCATCCCTGAATAGAGTCGGGCAATACAACCCCGACTCTAACACCTTTATAGGTGTCCGAATTCCTTTAAAGTTCCCACCATATGGTGAAGCGTGGAAAGCCTGCAAAATAGAAGATTAATCTTTCTCGAGGATAGACCTCCGGATCATGTTATCCATACATATTTTAAAGTAAAGGTCATCCCAGTAATAAGACCGACAATCACGAAAGAACTTTTTCTTTTGAGTCGAAGAGAGTTTATAAGGTACAATACCACTTGCTAAATAGTTAGCATTATCAGCATACCAAGGCATCTCCTCCATTGCCACTGCTAGTAATTGTTCATCAGGGAATGGCTTTGTTATATCTTCAACCTCTACTTTCTTTTCAGCTCCCTCCAACCCTGAAAGGTGGTCTGCCACTTGGTTCTCCATACCTTTCCTATCGCTGATCTCCAAATTGAATTCTTGTTGCAAAAGAACCTAACAGATCAAGTGTGGCTTTGACTCCTTCTTTGCTATCAAGTACCTAAGTGCTGCATGGTCAATATGAATAATCACTTTTGAACCTATCAAATAAGACCTGAATTTGTTGAATGCAAACAATAGGGCCAACATCTCTTTCTCAGTCACAATATAATTGAGATGTGCGCTGCTCAGTGTTCTACTTGCATAGTAAACTGGGTGCACCATTTTGTCCTTTCACTGCCCCAAAAATGCTCCTATAGCATAGTTACTCGCATCACACATGAGCTCAATGGCTGCTCTTAGTCGAGTGCAACGATGATTGGTACAGTCACCAGTCTCTTTTTTAGCTCCTCAATTGCTAACCTGCAATCATCAAAAAACACAAAGTGGTGATCCTTTTCAAGTAGTTTACATAAGGGATTAGCAATTTTAGAGAAATCCTTTATAAATTGCCTGTAGAAAATGGCGTGCCCAAGGAAACTTCTTACAGCCTCGATCGAAGTGGGCGGTGGCAACTTCTCTATCACGTCAACCTTAGCATGGTCGACCTTAATACCCTTACTTGACACTCGATGCCCCAACACTATTCCTTCTTGTACTATAAAATGGCACTTCTCCCAGTTCAACACTAGATTTGTCTCCACACACCTTTTCAACACTCTTCTGAAATTGTTAAGACAGCCACCGAATGAATTCCCCACCACTGAGAAATCATCCATAAAGACTACCATAATATCTTGAACCATATCAGTGAAAATGGCTAGCATATACCTCTAGAAAGTGGCCGGTGCGTTGCATAGGCCAAACGACATTCTCCAAAAGGCAAACTGTGGTGGCTCCTATATTGACGACTTCGCAGGTGGTGTTTTTCTTTCTTTTAAGTGTAATGGCTCAAACTGAGGTTCCCTTTTCCAGAAACCTTGACCTTCGAGAGCCATAACCCACTCTGCCAACTCTTCACCATCCATTTCTTTCAAATTCATCAAACAAGCTTCTAATGGGTCTTTGGAATCAAGGGTCTCACCCTTCTCTTATAGTATCACATCAACTACCTCCACTAGCGAACAATTTATAAATTCGCTGGGCCTCCTCATAGATTGTTGTACGTTGAATTTATTCAACCTCATTTTCAGCTCTCTAGTCTCATAATCAATCAATGCTCTCCCAGTGGCTAAGAACGTCCTTCCCAAAATTATGTATATTTCTTCGTCAACATGGCAGTCAAGAATAACGAAATTAGCAAGAAATACAAACCTCCCCACTTGGATAAGCACATCATCCAGAATTCCTGTTGGCCTTTTAACTGTACGATCAGCCAGTTGTAGCAACATTGAGGTTGGTCTAGCTCTGCCAATGCCTAACTTTGTGTATATTGACAATGGCATCAAGTTAATACTGATTCCCAAGTCATACAATGCTTTAGCAAAACCAAAGCTCAATTGTGTATGGGATAGTGAAACTACCAGGATCAGACAACTTTTGAGCCATAGGTCTTGTCACTACCGCTCTAAAAGTTTGAGTTAGAGTTACGGTAGACAAGTCCTAGAATTCAAACTTTTGAGACTTCAAATCCTTCATCATTTTATCATAACCCAGCATTTCCCTCAAAGCATCCATCATCAAAATATTCAATTGAATCTGTCTGAATATTTCCATGAATTTCATGTATTGATCATCTTTCTTTTGCTTTGCCAATCTTTGAGGGAATGGTGCTGGAAGTAGCTTCTGCTCACTGCTCTGTGTCTTTTCCTGATTAGAAGTCGTTTCCACTTCCCGTTTAGGGAACTGTTCAATTTCTTTATCCTTTCCTTTGTCAACTTGTGTTTGTTCAATTACAACCTCTGTGAGCTCCGTCGACTCATCAATATCAAATGGCACTGGAGTAAGTGACCCTGCATCTCTATTAGATTGAGCAACTTCTTGCTCTCTGTCCAAATCCCCTCCATTCCTAAGACTCATTGCCATTAACTTATTCGGGTTCTGCTCTTTTGAATTGATGTGTGTCTTCAAGCAACGTTCTTTGTGGGCGAGTCATGTGCGACTAACTTTCTTGCATCCTTCCATTTGTCCTAATGATTTGTTGCAACATGCCCTTGATTTCTATAATATTACTATCGTCATGTCTGGTCACCTGCTGTTGATGAGGCTGTTGGTAAGCCAACTGTTGTTGGTGGTGCTGATTTGTAACCATGCTGCCTTTGATAGGGCACAACTTGGCCTTGTGGTTGTCACACCTCCTTTTTCCGAAGATAAGGAGTTTTTTCAATTCAAGTTTTATTTTTCGAAATGAGATTATTTATTTAATTAAAGTCGCCACTTGGAATAATTATTGTGATGTCCCAAGTGACCAATTTATTTTAAAATTCCAAATCAAGGAAATTGACTCTATTTATGGTCTACAAACACAAAAGACCAGGTAAAAATCCTGTTAACCAGGGAGAAGGTGTGAGGAACTCCCGAGTTCCGTGGTTTTAGCATGGTCGCTTAACAACTAAATTTGGCTTAATGATCTGAATTATTATATGTTTGAAACCTTTATGTGTTACCTCTTCTATACTGCTTTTATTTATTTTAAACAATTATAAAATTTATTTAAACAAGTCACAATGTCATGTACTTGTTGTTTTGGTACACATCACAAATCACGCCACGTGATGTAATGACCCGAACGGTCGTTTTTCTTTCTACATCCCTGTTCCCTAATTAAGACTCCCCATATGTGCTTTTACTATTTTATGACCGGCAGGGATGGTTGGTTTGGGTTTGGTAGGATTCGGGTTGAAATCGGAACACTTAGTTCCTTAAGAGTACTTTATAATGGTTAAGTTTGACTTGAGTCAGCGTTTTGAGTAAACGACCTTGAAATTAGGATTTGACAGTTCCAATAGGTTGGTTTGATGATTTTAGACTTAGGCGTGTGTTCGAATCGGGTTTCGGATGACCCGGGAGCGTTTCAGCGCTTAATATTGGAAGTTGGACATTGAAGGTTTTTCAAGTTCTTTAAGTTTGGTTTGGAGTAGACTTTGGTGTTATCGAGGTCCGTTTGGGATTTCTAGCATGGGTATAGTTTTGTATGGTGATTTATGACTTGCACGTAAAATTTAGCGTCATTCCGAGTTGATTTGATAGGAAACGGATGTGATGTAGTGTTTTTAGAAGTTTTTGAATTTCATAATTTGATTCATATGTTTTAGCGTCCGCTTCGTATTTCTAGATGTTAATTTGGTGTTTTGATCGCGCAAGCGAGTCTGTATTATGTTGTTTGATGTGTGAGTATGATTGGACAGGGTCTCAGGAGCCTTGGATGCAAAACGGATTGGAATCAGACTCGGAATTTGGCATTGGGGGACTGTTGGTGCTCTAGTTCTGGTGCATTTGCACCTGCGTGGGTTTTGCTGCAGGTGCGACTTCGCAGAAGCGGCCCCTCGATCACAGAAGCGGCCTGAAGTAGGCTGGCTAGTGATCGCGGAAGCGCAGAGATATCGAACGTGTGAGCTCGCAGGTGCGAGGAAGGTGGTCGCAGGTGCGGGCCAGGACAAAGAGGCTTTGGGTCACAGGAACAGGTGTTTCTCCGCAAGCACGAGTACGCAAATGCGGATCAGCTCCGTGGAAGCGAATGCGCAGGTGCACATGCTTCTCTGCAGAAGCAAACTTGGCCAAGCTAGGTGAGGACCGCACATGTGATGGATTTTTCTCAAGTGCGGTGTGCAGGTGCGACCCAAGGTCCGCAGAAGCGGAAATTGCTGGGGGCAATGAGGCTTTTAATCCGAAACTTAGGCCTTTTTCCTTACATTTTCATTTAGTCTTGGGAGATTTTGAGAGCACTTTAGAGGGGGGATTCTCATCAACATTCTAAGGTAAGTAACTCTCACCCATTGTTAAGTTAATTATGCGGATTTTGGGTAGATTAACCATGGGAAATTGTGAAAACTTGGGGATTTATGAAAAACCTAGGGTTTTGGTTAAAATGATATCTGACCACGAAATTGGTTATGGCATTAAGTAAAAATTATATATTTGAGTTCGTGAGGCTATGTATAATATTTATCTTCGAACATTTCCGGAATCTGGGCACGTGGGTTCGAAGGCGAATTTTAAGAATCTTCTAATTTGGGTTGGGTAATTACTCTAATAGCTAAAATAGGGACTTTTGAGCATAAATTGATTAAATTATATAATATTTGACTAGTTTTCGGTTGTTCAGCATCGACTTGGGGCTTTTAGAGTGGCTTAGTGGGCTGGAAGTGAGCTTGGAAACGAGGTAAGTCTCTTGCCTAACTTTGTAAGAGGGAACTCATCCCCTTAGGTGCATCTTGTTGTGTATTACTTGTGTGGGGAGCTACGTATGCATTAGGTGAGAAGAGTCCGTGCGTATCTATATTCCATGATATGCCTTTAATTGTATTGTTGTGTTTATCATGCGTATTTAATGTCTTGAATAGAGCTGAGACTAGGGATTTTAAAGTTGCAATTATCGACTTAGTCTTCTTATTTTGGGAAAATTGAGTAATACTGGATAACTATGAAAAATCCATGTCCTCTCGGCCGCAAGTACTTCCGCGAGCAAGGTAAACTTCTGTACTCTAATGGCATCGGGCCATTCGCCTAGGCAGTATAGTAACACCACTCTAATGGGATCGGGCCGTTCACCTCAGGAGTATAGTAACACCACCTTTATGGGATCTGGCTATTCGCGTCGATAGTTTGGTAATACCACTCTTATAGGATCAGGTTGTTCGCTTCGGCAGTGTGATGGTAACACTACTCTTATGAGATTGGGCCGTTCACCTCGGCAGTACTGAATACCACTATTCTTATGAGATCGGGCTGTTCACCTCAAAAACTTCGTGCTAAATAATCGAAATGGGTTCCATTTCGGATATAATTGAGTTAGAGTCCTCACGGTCAGTTATGAGATATTGTGATGTGTTACGGATTCATGTGTATTTATTTTAGTTTCTTTTATTTGTCTCGTTGATACTTGTTGTATGTTCACCATGTCTACTTTATGCACTTTAATTATTATTATTGACCTCTAGCAAGTGTCAAGTCGACCTCTTGTCACTACTCCGAGGTTAGACTAGATACATGATAGGTACGCGTTGTTCTTCGTACTCGCGCTACACTTCTGCACTCATGTGTAGGTATTGAGATAGGTTCCACCAGTGGTCACGCAGGCGCGTAGCCGGTCATCACAGAGACTTAGTGGTGAGCTGCTTGCCTTGCTATGATCCGCAGCACCGGAGTCTCCTTCCTTCTTATTTGCTATTCCTGTCTATTACTTTTGGATAGTAGGTTTAGTAGTTTTGTATATTCTCTAGATTGCTCATGTACTTGTGACGCCGAGTTTTGGGGATTTGTAGCACTTATGTACTACTGTACTTGTCATTTTTATCACGGCAGACTATGTACTTATTATGTTGATATTTTGTGTAAAAAGGCTTGTCATAGTAGCATAAAATTCTGTGTAATTAAAATATGTTAAAAAGGGATAAACAAATAGTAGTCTCGCTTGTGGGCTTGCCTAACGGCGGCGTTAGGTGTAATCTCGACCTAGTACGGAATTGGTCATGACAGCTTGGTATTAGAGCTTTAGGTTCACATAGGTTTCACAAGTCATGAACAGACCTAGTAGAGTCTTGCGGATCGGTGCGAAAACGTCTGCGCTTATCTTCGAGAGGATATAGGGTGTTAGGAAACTTCTCTTTCTTCATCTCCTATTGTGCAGTTGATATTATACTAAGTGTCTTTCTATTGATCTCTCACAGATGGTGAGAAAGTGCGCGACGAATGTACCAAGAGGTTGAGGGGCTACTCTCCTTGTTGCTAGAGACCGGGAGAGGGCTCCAGCTCCAGTCAGAGGAAGAGGGCGCCCTAGGGTTGCTCCTTTTACACCACCAGTGGATCCAGTAGAGGATCTTGTTATTGAGGATCAGGATGAGGCTCTTGCAGCTGTGCCAACCCCGCCAGATTTGATGACTGTGACGGGATTCCAGGATGTCATGGGTCGTATGCTACGGTTCATGGACTCTATGACGCAGGCTGGTTTCCGGCGAACCATGCCACATCTCAGGCAGGAGGGGGAGCACACCCCTACCGCTTAGGCTCCTCGGCACGCTGCTGCTGTTTATCAGACCCTAGGTGCACTACCTGCAGGCAAGGCCTAGCCTGTTCCAGCGGCTATGCCAGAGGCTGTACCATTCGTGACCGATGATCAGTAGAAGCGGCTCGATAGATGGACTAGGCTTCGCCCCCCTACTTTTGGGGGGTGAGAGGTCAGAGGACCCCCGGGATTTCATTGACCGGTGCAAGGATAGGCTCCGGAACATGGGGATATTAAAGTCCAACGGGGTGGACTTTGCTACTGTTCAGCTTGATGGCGAGGCCCATAGATGGTGGTAGGCTTTTCTTCTTGGCAGGCCAGTAGGTTCACCTCCCTTGACTTGGGATCATTTTACACATCTGTTCTTGGAGATGTACATACCCAAGAACAGATTGAGCGACCCTGTCAGGGTCACATATCTGTCACCAACTATGAGGCGAGATTCACTAACTTGTCTCACCATGTAGCTATTATACCCCCAACAGATGCAGAGAGGGTGCGTAGGTTCATTGCAGGTCTGCACCTGAGATTCAGGTACCTATGGCCCGTGAGGCAGAGATGGGACTTCTTTTCTTCAGGTTGTGGATATAGCTCAGAGGATCGAGCATATTCACAACCGTAGTGGTAAGTTTACGTCGAGGGACAAGCGGCCCTAGAAATTTAGAGGATTTAGTGGCTCCCCCCACCTGGGGTAGAGGTCAATTCATGAGGGGTCTGCCCTGCAGGCCCATGCATTCAGCACCACCGCCTGCTTGGGGTACTCTAGCACGACCCTATCAGGGTCAAACTTCAGGCCAGCAGTCCACGATTTCGAGGGGTTGTTTCGAATGCGGATCTTGGCCACGTGAAGAGGTTTTGTCCC